TATCAGTTCTCTGATGTCAGCTAAGGCAGTGGCTTCGGTCGCGCAGGTTCGAATCCTGTCCTTGACGTTCTCTTTTGCATTTTTGCATGGCCTATCTATCTGACGTAGATCGTCTTTTTGCTCAAGCACTGTTTCGCTTTTCCTTTAACATGGTCAGAGTGATCCTACTAGATTTGCTGAGAACTTGCGGAGAACTTCCGTCGTCCGCATAAGAGAGTCGCGTCATGCGTGTCGATAACTATCTAATAACCTCAAACGTTTGGCATGGTGGACGGTGAGTCTTGTCCGACGTGCGATGGCCAACGAATTGATAGGCTACATTAAAACAGCGATATCATGTTGAAAAATGGGGTAATTAAAACATGGTTGGCGTGAGGTTGGTGTTGAAAACGCCACTTGTCATGGGCATGGATGCTACACGTGTAGGTTGGTCTAAGGAGAGTCGTTGTAGAGGAGCGAGAATGTGGGATTGCGTTATGAGAACCTTGAACAATCGTATGTTCTTGTAGATTGATGGCAACGCAAAGACCCAACCCCATCAAAGCTGCTGTCATGTTAGCAGGCCCTCAGCCTATTTCTGGAAGTCCGCACCTACCAGCTTCAGTCCAGATGTCCACGCAAGTCTTGTCCCATTCAACAATGCTCGACTATTTTTCGGCCGTCCTTGCAACTTCTGAAAAGCCATCCTCACATGTCTCGAGTCGACCGGCTTCCTCGCCCCTTCAGGTTCCGAAAACAAGCCCCCTTGCCGCTTCTGCACCCTCTCGGCACCGACTTGGTCATCAAGATACGCCAGCTCCTGGGCCTGCACCTTCAAAGCCTCCGCGGTCAGACTCTGTACCATCTCTGAAGTCAAAAAGCCCAGGATATCCATGACATCGTCATTAGGCTTGTTCTCCGCAATGACACCTAGCCCGCACCACTCCCTGAAGCGCTTTGCCTTGCGGTATGTGAGCGAGGCGTGGCGGTATTCGGACCAAGTGGCGTACTCGGCCACAGTCATGTCCCTTGTCCGCTCGTCGTTCTTGCGCAGCTTCTCCAGCGCGGCCTCGCTGCTGGTAACGTCGGTGATGTCCTCCGGCGCCTCTACGACCTGCTCGGAGAAAAACGAAGACACATCCCACGGAAGGGAGACGGTGGGGAACTTGCCTTTGGCTGCGGGGGTCTCGTCAGTAGGCGCGGCTTCTTCCATATCTGCTTCATCGACGAAGCCCTCCTTCTCGTCCGAGTCTTTGACAGTCTTGCGGATGGCTTTCCAGGTGAGAAAGGTGCGCAGGCGTTCTACGCGGGCGGTGTCGTGGCGGAACTGGAAGATGAGGTCGTTGTTGGAGAACACGCGGGAGCCGCGGCGGCTGGCGAGGTCATTTGCGGTCTTCAGCTGTGAAGCCGTTAGATGTGGATAGGGGACGGGTGGATGAGCTGTACTGTGTGGACGACTTGATCGAGGATGATATCTTCAATGAGCTTGATGGTTTGGATTGACACATCTTGGGTTTCTCCGGCGATGTACATCATCTAGAGATGAGCCAGATAAGTTGAGGCACGATGAAAGGTGACCAAGCAGGTGGCTCTGTGAGAAAGAGGGACGAAACAGTGACGAGAAACCATCAATGGACAAGCATGAAAGGGGAAATGCAACATGACTGAAGTTATCGATGAACTTACTTGCTGGATTTCTTGCTTGAATTTGGCCTCCATCATAATAGCCTAGAGGACATCGAAGTTCGAGAGGTTCAAGACAAACAGCTAGAACATATAGCAATATGGGAGGGCTGGGTAGATCTTCACAAGGAATGGATGTAATATTGACTGCATTACAATTGTCCTCAAACAAAAATCATCTGCAGTATTTCAGGATCATCATGACTGCTCCTGGTATTATAAAATGCATGTTGGGCATTTTATACTGGTGCTTTACTGCGTATGAGTGCGAGGGGGCCCATTTGCACTGTACGAGCTGAGGGTGCTTGGTGCTGTAGAGGAATGGGGGGAGTTGAAGAGGAAATTCGGCGACCCAAGGGCGCGGGGACAGGCCTACTTCGATAAAATACAGCGGCAGAAGCTCGGCCCAGCTGGGGGAACAGCCCTTACCCAAAGGGTCTAATCAATGATTGGTTTTCTTCAACTTCCATCTCCACTTCACATGGCTGTCACAGTGTACATACGTTCCGCCCTCATTTCAGGGCTATGGAGTCTTTCGACGGCGGTAAGTCAGGGACCTCTAAGAAGTTTTAGGAAGACATACTATACGCATATAAATTTTCACGGGTGTGGATACTTTGTATGACCATCGCCCATCACCGGCCATGCAATGACCAGAGCGAACGTGTCGAGGAGCCTGGGAATCAAAACAGCAAGGCGCCTGGAAGAGCATTGGCTACCGCAGTTGACGAGTGCCAAGATCCCATGCATGACGACGGTCAGATTCATACGTATGTGTCAGAAGATTCAGGCCAGCTAGATCGATATTGTGATAGCTGTTGCTGGACAAATGCAGGCAGTGAAACTCATCGCTTGCCGCAGGTGCATCACCTGAGAACCCAGACTTGGCTGTTCATGCAAAGATCTGCCGGGTTTTCTCAAGTCATTCAATGACACATGAGATTCGATCGAAAGGCGTCCTTTGGCGCCGAATGAGGGTTGTCAGCCCGCCTCGTCGCAAGACTGCTTGATTGCAATTGGCTGGCCTGCGCGGTCTTTTCCTACCCCTGTCCCACAATATGACTTCTACAACACTGTTTGATTGGCTGTATGCAGAGTCTTTCGTTCCCGAATGAATTCGAGGCAGTAGAGTCTTTTGCACCCATGTAAGGCGGCAGGAGCGGAGCGGATTGTTTGCAGATTGATGGTTCGATGGATGCCTTGAGACTTGGTTGTAGCAATATGATAGCCATACAAATTGTGTTTGACGACGCATAACTTCAGATGGAGAAGGCCAGAGAGGAATCTCAGGACTTAGCTTACTCTGTTTGGTTGAGCCTTGTTCGACGTGTCTTTTGCTATCATTGCATTTGAACATCTGAATCGCTTCATGTGCGTTCAAGAGACCTGTTGGTCTTGGAATCTATCCCTGGCATCATGTCTCACAACAATAATATCGATCGCAGCCCATCGGCGAGTTCGCTATCCAGAGTTGTTAAACGGCTGAGTGGCAGATTGAAATCCGTAAACCCTGGGCAGACCGGAAGCAATGAGGACACAACATTTAGAGGGTTCACATCGACGGAGACTTTGACTCGTCAATCTCCTCGCTCGTATCCCGAAACAGACTGGGAGTCAATGAAGAAAATCATCAAGTACCTGTATCTTGATGTAGATCTCACACTCGAGGGTGTCGTGGACACGCTGTCGAAAGGGAATGATTTCCACACCAAGTAAGTTGGTTTTAATGGACTGATCAGCGAGAGATTTTTGCAGAGTAGGCTGTTACCCAAAGAATTGGCTCTAATCATTGTTTTAGCGTTAGAATGTGCAAAACTCGTTTAAAGCGCTGGGGCTTTACGAAAAACAACAGCAAGCACAGAAAAAGCAATTATCGCGAAAAGATGAAGACCATGAAGTCTTGCAGTCTGATGAGACGCGATGCTGTCCGTATTGTCAAGGGAAGAGCAGAAAGAACCCCAGTCACGCGATGTGACAACGTTGGACCATCGATCGAAGATGCAAGCTGTCACGGGCTAGAGCCCGGCCGAGATCTCCGGCTTTGCCGGGGCAGTTACCGAGATCCGGCTCCGCCGGATCCACTATTCTACCGTGGCACACCGCCTAGCCCGACCACGTATCTCCGTAGCTAGGCGCCCACTCTTGTAAAGTCCTTCTCCTCTTCAGCTTAGAATAGTCAATCAACGGCACCTCTACGTTGAACAAGCCTAGGGGCCAGCCCCTTACACAAGCGTAGCAGGGGATGACGAGATGATGGCGTATGACGCTCAAAATCATCAAGAACTTTCTGATGATAGAGGTTTTGACGAAATGGAAGAGGTTGAAGATGCCGAGGTTGGCTCCAGTTCGACATTTGAATCAAGTTCCTCTTTTGAGCCAATGCATATGCTCGCGGAGACAGATGTCCATTCTCAGGGAGAACTTGCGTCCGCATCTGACACCAGTAACACTGAAGACACCTCGTCTCGGGTGGAGAAACTCTCTGCGAGTGAGCCGTCGTGGGAAAAGGAGGCCTTTCACATCTCCGAACCAAGTAAGGGAGCATCTTCCAATGTCAGATGAGGGTTTGCGACTGACGCATACTAGTTTCCATCACGTCTTATGATGATGGATGCCCTTACCGCTTTGGGGAAAAGTTATTCCGTCTGGTAAAGGGCGATTACATGTAAGCAGAAGTCCAAAAGAAGTTCACATAGAAAATGTTCGTACTGAAAATCGACAGGGAGCCGGAGTATGAGGGCGATTATCTGGGTTATGGCTCCTACATTGACGTCACCACTCGAAAGCCTTGCACGATGATGTGCATGTGCAATACGATACACTTTCCCTACTCATATTCATTTCTTGTGCATACGACTGGAGATGAGACGGGGGTAAAGTTCTTCAGTAACGAACTCTAGACCGAAGTCCAGAAAACATGTCTCTTGCCGAATCGTCATGCAAGATCAAATGACAGAAGTATCGATATTGGAACTCTACTGAGATGCAAACACGACCTGGCCAAGAATTTGAGTCGCCTCTACGCCAATGAGCTTATTGGCCTGTCCCGACCAGGAGATCAGTCGCGCTGTGTAGAACTCGGTCTTCTTCTCAACGGGATTTTGGACAATTCACCTGCTCAAGAGCTTGCGGCAACAGAGAGTCGCCACTATACCCAAGAAATTTTCCAATCGAAGATGGAGCAGTGTTCAACTGATTCAATCAATGAAGAGTCAAGTCCTCAGTCAAATGAGGCTTCACGATCTGGCTGGTTCGGTGGTTTCAATCCTTGGAAAAAGCTGCGAGCTCAGTGGAAGAATCGCCGCCAACCCAATACATTATTCCAACTCGAGGCCAAAATGAACAGACTGGACAGTGCGATCATGGCCGGATGGTCTGGACGAGCGAGATTCTTGGATGATAACTGGAGCACGGCTGGACAATGCGACGAAGACGACTATGTCAATCGGGTTCTCAAAGCCCAAATCCACGAAGTTCAACCCAGGAGTACTCACGACCAATCTGTTCAGGCTAAAGGTCTACATCGTTATTCCGAATTAGACGGTCGAGAAATATCCCAAAGATACGAGCTCCATTCTGAGTGTCTGCTATTGCCTGCGAGCGCCGATGAACAGCACAGAGCTGACTTGGATCTGGAATACCAAGTTTCTATCGGTCATTTCAATGCGAATTCTTTGACACGGGACAGGTTTCCTACATGCGAAGCCTTCGAACTTGATTCTCGTCTTTTGGAGGAGAATGAGAGTTTCGAAGTATCGAAGGCGAAGAAGCAGAGACACCTGTCGCTTGCCGCAGGAAGTGCAGATATAAGCCCCGCATTGGCCAAGAAATTAGAAGAGGGCACCTTTAGTGTGAACGATTGGATTATGAACGCGGCTATGAACGAAGACATTGGCCTCGTGCAGACTCTTCTTGACCTCCGTACAGACGAGGACGGTATGCCGTATCACCCGCAAAATGGGTCGAGATCTTGCTAACACAATGCGATGCAGTATTTGATAGTAGCTCCCGATGCTCGCCCATTTGTATTGCATCTGAATTCGGAGACATTGCTGTTGTCCGCGCGGTGCTCGACCGCGGCGCAGACGTCAACAAGCCTGATTCACGTGGATTGCCGCCAATTTTTATAGCAGCAGCCAACAAGCATCTGGGAGTGGTAAGACTTCTTTTGGAGCGTGGAGCCCTTGTCAATGCTACTAGCCAGCATGGGTCACTACTATGCGAGTTGGCAGTAAAAGGAAATCACGAAGCACTTCGCTTCCTGCTGAATCGACACTCGGGAAAGATTGCCGACTCTTATAATGAGAGCTCCAAATCTCAGCCAGACACCCACAAAAAAGATATGAACCAAGCGCTAGTGCTAGCAGCGAAGTCTGGTAGCTCAGCGGCGATGCAGGTCTTATTGGATCATGGGGCGGGCGTGGATCTTCTGCTGAAGGCCCCAGCTTCTGACCTTCTCAGCGCGCTGATCGAGAGTGCAGTTTCAGGGAACTTTGAAGTTGTCAACATTTTGCTGATGACGAACGTGGATGTCAGTGGCCTTGATAATCGAGGGTCCGCACTCAGTGCTGCTATGAGCAACGGGCACGATGCCGTCGCCCGCTTGTTACTCCAGCATCGGAGCGGACAAGTTTTAACCGCTATACAACACCTGAGAACCCAAGGAAAACGAAAACACATCAAACGGCTCATGGAGCTAGTCTCGCAAATGCAGCAAAGTGGTCGCAGATGGGAAAGCTGTCCACAATCAAGCCTGGTGCCCCCCAATGTGCAATGTCTTCGAAAGAAGTTTCTTTGGCAGCACTTTAATATGCTAAGAGCTTCGTCAAAATCGTCTACCAAGTTGTCAGAGTTGTCAAACATATTACCTCGTCATGTTGACACCTGGACTGCTGGCATGAAGACCATGCGAAAGTTATGCAAAGGGGAGCGTCCAACGAATGTTTATGGCACAATTGCATTTCTATGCTTGTCTCGGGCAATGTTAGAAACTCTTGGAAAGCTCCATCATGCCGACTACAAAGACGACTTCGACCTCGACCTACACAGATGGCAAATGCTATTCATGGACGAAGATGAAGGCGGCGATTTAGAAGCTTATAAAGAAGCAGTATTATTAATGTGGGGTGTCACTTTGCACAGAATCGATGAGAGTGACCCCGACGGCGCAATAATTCAACGCTTTCATGATCTCGCGACGTTGCTGGCTGGGAATGCTAACGATATTTACGGCAATTCGCCCCTGAGCGATCCGAATGTGGTCAGGTTGGAACAGAATGAACACAGCCAGTTTCAGAATAGAGACGATTCGATTCAAGTCACACGTGGAGACGAACATAGGCGAGACAGAAAGGGCAAGAACGTACAACTGCAGCAGCCGGCGTTTCCGGATCGAGCGCCGCAAGCGCCGAGACGCACTCTGGCGAAGGAGATACAGAGACACCCGACTATTGTTGAACCTCTGGCAACCTTCTTGATTGCTGGCTCAATTTTTGCCATTGTAATTTTATTTACTCAAGGTGAGATTTATCTGCAGCCCTGGGTAAGATCCAGCTAACAGTTACGACTCAAGTGATGGCACAGATATCAAAGCTATTGCGCGTATCATTTCCGCGCATTAAAACACTGTCTGACAGGTACAATCCGTTGGAAAGTGAGCTGGTCCATGGCGTTGATGCCGTTGAAATTGAAGGTGTTTGTGGAAATCAATATGGCTGGGTCTGAGCATACCGTCGACTTTCTTGGTTGGAATTGAATTTGCGCTGGCGTTAGGCGCTGCTTTCCTGCCCATCTCATGTAATGTCACATCTTCAACGCTTCCACTCGTACAAATAATGTTGAAATAATATGCCACGCTTTCCTAAATAATGCTTCCGAGCCTTACTGGCTGGTCCAGACCGTCCACGTTGGGAGTGCTGAATTGAGGTGCTGACGGCAAAGTGGGGCCGCGTTCGGAACGCAGACGCCGGGTAGCGGAGGTTGACGCCGAGAATCTTCGGAATCAAAATAGTGCCTACGGAATGGTCGAAATAGTAATCTAAGAGCTGTGTCCGGACATTCGGCCCTCCCACGTCCGACTGCTTCGTTCTCGCGACGTTCCAGAAGCTGAATCCCTGAAAGCTCAGACGTCGGACGAGACCAGCCTCCCCCCAATCAAAGCACCCAAAACACGAGACTAACTGATCTTCCGCCACTTCCCGTCTCGCGAATGCGCGCAAAGGCAGGGTGCCGGACCTCTTCTACCCTCGGCAACGAACGGAGCAAGTTCGCAGAGAAGAAAGTTACTTGGCCCCAGGCCAATCATGCCTCGGCGCTGCACCCCCGCGCTTTACTCCAACATTGGCTGCTTCCCGCTAGTCGAGGCCGGGGGCTGGTGTGGGCCAAGGTGGGTGAGTCGGTGGACACAAACCGCCGTTGTGTTACATTCTCGCTTCGTCTTCGCGAGGAGGCCATTTGCCGGTCGTCTTTTCCGGTGTTGGAGCTTGGGAGCTTGGGGACATGGAGCACGGCAAATAATCGCTAACATTGGGGATCCCAAACACGGCGAACCCGGTTGTTTTCCACTGACTGCCCAATGATACTCGCGACTCTTGCGAGCTCCACGGCAAGCTGGCGGGGTTTTTGATCTCTCCGTCCCCCACGTTTCACAGGGATCCAGCTCCAAGAGTCGGCCCTGGGCAGCAGTCGAGGACACTTTTTACCGTTCGGCTCGACGTCACGAATATCTACCTCGTTCCGAAAGATCCCCTCCATCTTCTCGCCTTCAACTTTGTAAACCCCCAGACACCATACACCACGCGTTTTGGCGTTCACCGGTGTACGATTCCGAGTTTCCAAATAGACAGACAATCTTGTTAGATAGAGCATTCAGACTCCATCTGAAGATATGGCGCTCGGTGAGATTCCCCGCCATCACCAGCCTCCAATTTGGTGGTGAAATCCTTCCGTCGCGTTCGGTCAATCACGACCTCGGGTTTTACCACGAAGCAATATTTTAACACCGGAACAGCAGCGGCAGCCGCGGTAGCTGGAGGCGTGGCCTCATCTTTGTATCTTGACGCGAAATACCACCTCTCGAAGGATATTAATTCACTCCGAGGCCGCCGAACAGTCGTCAGCGCAATTGAAAACGCAGGTAAGTTGCAAGTCTACTTCGCAGACAAGCAGTGGCCTTACGATAATACCAGTCAAGACCGACCGCGTATCACCCTACTACATCTTCGAACAAGCAGTCCAAAAGCATCCCTATGATGAGGCCATCTGGACGAGAAATGGAAGCGTCTCGTGGAAGACCACCTACGATCGTGTCAACCAATATGCTCAATTATTCCTCTTTTATGGCGTCAAGCCCGGACAATTCGTCGCCTTCTTCATGCAGAACTCTCCCGACTTCGCCTTCGCCTGGGTAGGACTACTCGCAATCGGTGCCGCACCGGCCATGATCAACTACAACCTCACCGGCAAGGCTCTTCTCGGCTGCATCGAAATCAGTACGGCGAAGCTTGTGCTGGTGGATGGATCAGAGGAGGTCGCGGCGAAGTACCAAGACGTGAATACCGAGCTCGACATGAAGGGGATCAAGCTTATCAACTTGGCCGAAGAGAAGCCGAGGGTCTATCAAATGGATCCGGTACGGCCGCACGACAACCTGAGGAAGGGAATGATGCCAGGTGACGCGATGGCTCTTTTCTATACCAGGTAAATACTGCGAGGATCCTCGGTGATGTTGACTGACAGATGCAGCGGAACTACTGGTCTGCCTAAGGCTGTGCTGTTCCCGGCGGCCGCCGCGGCAAGCTTGTCACTACAGGCAAGTACTAATGAGACCGGCTTTGCTTGCTGTTCAGAAGCTAATTAGGTCAGAACGATTTGGGATTCCATCCGACTGCCGGTAACAGCGAACGATGCTATATTTGCATGGTATGCTCCAGTTTACGGTTCTTGTTTCGGAATACTTCTGACCATCGCCAACAGCCATACTATCACGGGACCGGCGGCATCACGATGATTTCACAGATACTTGTGAGGATCTCTCTCATCCTTTGTAAAGCTCTTTCTGATGACGATTTAGTCGGGATCCACGGTCTGCATGGCTCCGAAGTTCAGTGTCTCGACCTTCTGGGACGACATTCGCGACTCGAACGCCACCTGGTTCGTCTACGTCGGCGAAACGCTACGATACCTCCTCGCCGCGCCGCCTTCTCCGCGGGATAAAGAACACAATATTCATGCCGTCTTCGGGAACGGTTGCCGTCCAGATGTCTGGAGGCGATTCCAAGAACGGTTCGGTGTTGACACCGTTTGCGAGTTCTACAACAGTACTGAGGGTGCCTTGGGGCTGCGCAACCTTTCACGAGGAGATTTCTTTGCCAACGCTGTTGGCCACCACGGCTTGCTACTTCGACTCAAGTACAGGAACATGTATGTTCCTGTCGCCATTGATACGGAGACTGGTGAAGTTCAAAGAGATCCTAAAACAGGGCTGGCGGTCCGGATGTCTTATGAGACTGGCGGAGAAATATTGGTAGAACACCCAGGTGAGAGGGCGTTTCCAGGTTATTTCAATAATCCCGATGCAACGGACAAGAAGTATGTGAGGGATGTCTTGAAGAAGGGAGACATCTTCTACCGCACTGGTGATTCTCTGAGACGGGATGCTGATGGCAGATGGTTCTTCTTGGATCGGTGAGTTCCTTTCCTGATGCAGTCGATGGACATAACCTGACATGACTTGAAAAGACTCGGGGACACCTACAGGTGGAAGGGTGAGAACGTGTCTACAGCTGAAGTGTCGGAAGTTCTCGGAGAATACCCCGGTGTGAACGAGGCAGTTGTTTACGGCGTTTCCCTCCCTGGCCACGACGGAAAAGCTGGCGCAGCAGCTCTCGATATTGCTCCAGACAAGAAGGCGTCCTTCGACTTCGCTGACTTCCTGAAGTGCGTATCTCATCCCAAGACCCTTGCTTCTTTAACTCTAAGACTTGTAGGTACTCCCGATCCCGATTGCCACGATATGCCGTGCCCATTTTCGTTAGGCTGTTGAATGCAAGCCAAGCCAGCCACAACAACAAGCAGAACAAGGTGCCATTGAAGAACCAAGGCGTTGACCCGAGCAAAATTGAGGGTGGTGATCAGCTTCTATGGATTGAGAAGCACGGCAAGGGGAACACCTACGTTGCATTTACGCAGGACGACTGGGACAACCTTGGGCAGGGCCGAGCGAAGTTGTAGATGGGCGAAGTTCTGATTCCTCACAGATACTTATTCTACTGGACATTTGACTTTGGTTCCTTCAATGAGCACGTGTGAAGTCTTAGGATCTTCCTACGACTGATGCAGTGATACCGCCTCGGCCGCTAGCGACCATCTTTGGCCGAATCATACACCGCTTCACCTGCATTCCCGCGACATGCGGGGGCGGGATGACGGAGATGACGGAGATGACGCTCAGGACCCGGCCAATGAGCGTGCTGTGATGATAATCTGCTGAGAACCAAGCTTCTGACGGCGCGATCAAGGATACGACGAACCCCGCACGACGCAATCACACACCGGGGGATTGCGCACGCGGGGGAACACCCCTGTACGCTTCACATGGAGATCAGCGCATATGGGATGGCCGGGACCGAGGCGAGCAACCTGGATTGAGCTGGACGACATGGTCAGTCACACCTAAGGGCCTTGGTTTGTTGTTGGAACCAGAGATTCAAATGAGGGCGCCCAGGTTCTGCTGCGAGCCGATTCCCGACTTGATTCTCTCGTGTTTTTGCCCGGGGCACCAGCCGTCGCAAAAATGGCAGGAATCAAGCGGACGCGCATCATTTTCGCACTTTTCATCACTTGTGTGCTCATTCTGCTTTTCAGGAGCGGCAGGAACGCGAAGCCAGAAACAGAACCAGCACAATGGATGGATTCCCCCCCGCCCGAAAGTCCCTCGACAGACTCCCCTCCCAAGATCGACATCCCTCCTGAACATGTTGAAATCCCGATGATCAACGACGCCCTCAATGGACAGCCTCCGACACAGCCAGCACAACTCGTCCTCGATGCACACAAGTTAGCGACGGCGGACGAATTCATTCCACATTTCGCGGCAGTCATTCAAGAGAAGGGAATCTCTCAGCGAGAAGCCCGCGCAACATGCACGTGGCCAGCAGACGTGTTTGTCGACTTCCAATTCTCCGATACGCTGGAGTGGGTTCTTGAGGACCGACCAGTGTTGGAGATAGAGCTGCGCCGACGGGAGTGGCACGACTTCGTTCAGAAGGGCATGATTCCATACGCGACCGTGAAGGATCGGTTCCTGGGAAGAGGCTTGGTCATTGTTGCTGGCAATGCGGACACAATTATGCGCGTCAAGGTGATCCTTCGCCAGCTGAATAGACTGGGGTCAACCATTCCTGTCGAGATTCATTACTGGGACACAGAAATGGACATTGGCGCAATGGCAGACCTCAATGCGCTGTACACCCCGATCTACTACAACGACCTGTCGAAGCCGCATAACATTATCCACATCAAGAAGGACGGATATTTTGGAATCAACTATCAGCTGAAGACGGCAGCTTTGCTAAATTCTCGTTGGGCTGAGCCGATCCTGCTAGACTCAGACAACATTCCCATTCTGGACCCAGCGACCCTGTACGATTCGATTCAATATCAAGAGTACCACTCCGTATTCTGGCCAGACATTGCACGTACACGACCACAGAATCCTGTTTGGGCTATCTTCAATGCACCTTGCCGGATGGCCGAATACGAGCAAGAAAGCGGGCAGCTATTGGTCGACAAGACGCGATTCTGGTATCATCTCCAACTAGCGTCGTGGCTGAACAACGAGCAGGGGAAGTACTACAATGAGATCCTGCTGGGCGACAAGGATATGTTCCGCTTCGCGTGGCATGCCCTGAAAACAAACTTTGGGAAGCCCAAGAAGTGGGTTACGAGCGTTGGCACGGAAAACAACGGGTTTTACTGCGGTCATTCGTTCGCGCAGCATCATCCGGATGACGGGAGAGTGGCGTTTCTGCACGGCGGACTAGTGAAGACAGTGTCACTCGAGGTGATGAGATGGAATCGCGATGTCAAAGAGGGCTACCTTCGACACTACAAGAGGTCGCCGAGCGAGGAGAGCCCAGAGGTGAACATTAACGTCGCCATAAAGTTCGACGGAGCGGCATACATGCCTGACCATTCCAACAAGTTCGAGGCCGCCCAGTGTACTGACATGTTCGACGTCCAGGCGAGAGACCTGAACGAGATCCTCCCCGGATTCGAGCAAACCTTCCGGGAGATAGGAGGATACTGGCAGCTGGACCAAGAGGATACGGCAAACCTTGGTCAAACCAACCCTTTCCCAGCCGGGTGAAGCTCGCGTCGAACGATGCGGATAGCATGATATTCACCAGGATGACATCCGTTGCCAAGAATGGCATCGAGGAAGAACCGGGTGAGATAACCCCCCCTGACGATCCTCCGCGGGCCGACCAGAGGGAGCTAGGCGCCAAGCACGAGCAAAGGACGGGAGGTCAAAGACACGCGAAACAGACAAAGGCGGGCTAGCACCGTGGCCGTAATGTCTTTGATGGTCAGAGACTTGGCCCCCCTCGACCGAGGTCCGTTGTGCGGAATCTTAAAAGAAGACTCGGGGCTAGAAAACTGTGCATTGAAGCTTAATTTCTCAGCCCTGGGATGTCCGACCAGTCTGAGCCGGCGGAATGTCAGCAACGCTCCCTTCAGCTGGAGGCGAACCTTGGTGTTGACAAGTTAAGACGCCGATCAGGGTCGTGGATTGTCAGAAGTCTTGGCATGACAGTTGTGGAAAATAAATTGCCACAAGGCTGATGAGAGACATTGAGAAATCAAGCCATCGGTCTTGGTCAAAGGAAGTTGGCACGTTGTGTTGGCGGGAGCTGGGATGGAAGATGGGCTGGCTATTGACAGCAGGGGAAGAAGAATCGCGTGTCTCAGTCGTGTCGAATGAGTCAAGTCCTCCATGGCAACAACATAAGGACATTCACCTGAGAGGATTACGCAGTCAGCAGCACTGAATCGCAAAGAGGAAGACTCTCCTGCAAGATGGATCCTGTTACTACTGCAGCTTGAAAATAAAACCCGTGTTATTGGGCGACCCAATCCATCGGCTTCTCATCCGAGCGTTGGGAAAGTTCGTTCACATTCCGAGACACAAGACACCAGCAGGACCAGGAAACTAGAGACAAGCATCGGACGACAAAAAACGGCCCTTGACCCTGGGGAAGCATGTTCGGGCCAGTGACGTTCGTGTTCCCTTTCTTAGCACATCTGAGCTAATGTTTCAGGGCAACTCGCAGGCCAAGCCGCACCGTTAGGGTGCTAACTGCAACATCGGATTAGCGGCTGAATCCCGCCTGCAACGCTAAAACAATGGCTCCCTCTGCGGGATTGCGATGGACCTTTGTATTGCCCCTGAACAAAGGTGCCCCCCCCTGGCTCTTGAGTCGAGATATGCATGCCGGAACGGGCAAGGCTTCTCCTTCTGGATATCGCATTCGGCATAGATCCAATATCAATCGGGAGCTAAGTAGTGTTTTGCAGCTCGTCCCGCAGTCTGTTCCAGGGTCATCTTGCAGGATGATGGGATGATGGGTGCATCGGTAGGACACAAGGAATCAGATGCTCGACCACCACCCAGCAGCGTTGTACGATGTTTCTACATTCCCTGCCTTGAATTGCTGTTATTATGGACAAGGCAATATGCAACAGGGTCTTCAGCAAAACCACAACAAACGGCCAGAAGGAACAATAGAACTCGGTGTGTTGAGTCGTAGCCGCCACACAGACCTCTTTGTTTGCTCGCCGTCGACGCCTCTTCTCATCCTGGCCAGCCACCGTTAGGAACCGCCTTAACCTGTCCAATCACGGTCAGGATGATTCCCGTCTTCTTCAGCATAGCTTCGTGGAGGCGAAGCAGCAGTGTTACTGTGCTCGGACCGGGCCTGCTCGGCCCAATACGAGAGGAAGCAGACGACGAAGAGAAAAAAAAGCAAGCCTTCACTAACAACGTTGACGGCCCCGAGACGCCCCGGGGCTAGCCAGCGTGACGGCGGGCTGCTCATCTCCACACCCAAGCTTCACGATGGGCTCTTCTCGCCAAGAATAGACTTGTCCAGAGGTGAGCACGGTCATCGGGCTGCTGAGCTATTGATGAAGATATAATGAAGCCGCGATGCCCCGTCTGTCGCAGCTTTTGGAACACCATCTCACGCCTCATCCGCTCTCCCGCCTCTCTCTCACATTCATTCCGACTTTGAATAGTCGTCCTTTCTTTCTTACACGCAACGGCTTTCACGGCAATATCAGTACACTCACTTCTCTAGTACCTACCTTCGTTAACCATTGTCAATATGCGTGTTACTCTCTTTACCGCAGCCCTCGCGGCCACCTCCGTCTCTGCCTACCCAGGCATGAAGAACACCTTCTCCGAAATCCGCGCCCGTGTTGATGCGGACGGCGGCGGTGCCGACAATGACGACTTCGACTCCGCCGAGTTGATTGGTGACCTCGCCACCCTCGACGACTCCAAGCTCACCCCCGTGGGCAAGACCGTCAAGTCTATCCTTCTTGGCAACGATATCAACCCCGAGAGCACTGATGTATATGTCACCTCCGGCAAGGCCAACAACCTCGCCGCCAAGGGCACGCCAGCCTGCGCTGCCGACACATGCTGTATCTGGAAGTACATCGCCAACGATCTTCAGGGTGTCTTCAAGGGCAAGTCCGGCCGTTGCACCGACTTTGCCCGTGCCGCCGTGCGTCTCGGCTTCCACGATGCCGGCGGCTGGTCCAAATCCACTGGTGACTTTGGCGGCGCAGATGGATCCATCATTCTGGCTGCCGAGGAGATGGGCCGTGGCGAGAACAACGGTCTTCAGGAGATCGTTGCCCAAACTCAGGTCTGGTACAACCAGTACAAGCAGTTCGGCATCGGTATGGCCGATCTTATTCAGTTCTCCGCCAACGTCGCCACCGTCGTCTGCCCTCTCGGACCCCGTATCCGCACATACGTCGGCCGCAAGGACTCCTCCAAGCCATGCCCCAACGACCTTCTCCCTCCCGTCACCGGCTCCGCCGACTTCCTGATTGAGCTGTTCGAGAACAAGACCATCAAGCCCCACGGCCTCACCGCCCTTATCGGCGCCCACACCACGAGCCAGCAACGCTTCGTTGACCCCAGCCGTGCCGGTGACCCA